GGCGTGGGCCTAATGCGGAGGTTAACCTTTCCTCGCTGTCGATGAATATTCACGACGTGTCTCCGACGTTCAAAACTTCAAAGGACACTTTAAATTTGGGATGATTGATCTCCTCTGTACTGGAGATGTATCAATTAGCTATCGCCGGGTCCCGACGCACTCGTCTGATTGTGCGGCGGATAATTAATGACAGAGAACAATGCGCGGGCGACAACTAATCATTCATCCCAAATGCCCCTATTGAGCATTTTACGTGTCTTTCGTTGGGAAATCGATTTAGCTAATGGAACTTCTTTAGGAACTCGTCTTTCTTCTTTAAGTGACCGAATCAATTTAAGATGCGATTATTAGAGCTTTGCGTTACGCTACCGTTATTGTCACGGATTTAATAATCATTTTTATATTTTTGTAATCTTTATATACTATTTTAATCAAACCGTAATTGGTAATCAAAATTCAATTATTAATTTCATTTTTAATAGCACTACGCTGTAGACATTTTTCTTTTATTTTTATCCCTCAAAATTAAAGTACGTTTAGGTTCAGATATTCTCAATTTTTTATATTTAATTAGAACGTGTAGTTTCAAACAAATAACTCACCATTCGAACATGAATTCACCGTCTATTGATTATTACAAATAATAGTTGGAAATAGCTCTCGCCTCGTCAATAGTAGCTCTAATTTATTCAAATCAATACTAAAAGCCAGCTTGCATCCAAACTTACGCTGTCGTCAAATGTATAGTAAGTTGGAAGCTATTTAGCTCATTGGCATCGTCTTTAGACGTTCCGACGGAGACTCCCAAACTTGGCCCACTCTACGTACGAGGGAGCTCTCAACTCCGAACATCGTTGAATTAATATCCCTTACTTCCCAAGTGCATGTTTACGAGTACGAGTATGTTTCATGTAACGATATTCTATTAGTATCTATTATATAAATTTTGAATTGAATTATTGGTACCATTATTTTATATAAAGAGTAAACTAAATATATAATTTAGAGGTTGCTTTTTTTGTCGTTTTTCATGTTATTATACATAATAATAGATTCATATTAGTATTTACATATATTATATTTTGTTGAGATATTTTGAGGCACTGAGAGTCACGATAATTGTTTATGTTCGTGTAAGTTCAATCTTGTAGCACTCGAGAAAGAATTGACGGATTTTATAGGGACTTATTTATTGTACTTACGTGATAATAGAATAAACCAATAATATAGCTGAAGATTTATTTAGAACAGGAGACATCACTAAATAAAAATATATTAAAAAAAAAGGCTTACAAATATATACAAATCCTCGATAAAGCCAACCTTTACCTCTTATACATGCTTATCACTTATCACTTATTTTCGAGTAATGCGAGCGTGGACTCAGGTCTTTGTCAAATACTATAAGATGTTTCGGCTTAACGTTATAATATGTCATCCTCGTACATTGTGTGCGGAGGTTTCTCGTCGGAGTACAACTGTGGCTCGTGACTCGTGATATGATACCCTTGTTATGGAATATTCTTGTTTGAAGAACAGATTGGTTAGGTCTAATTAGTATATAATAACGCTGTTTAGTAATTAATTAATGTTCTAAAACTAATAAAATGTACAAGTGAATCAAATATTTTATTAAATTTTCAAAAGTTCTATAATATCCATTCAACTAAAACAATGGATGGCAAAAGTTGCAAGTGTTCTATAATTAAGGTATTTTAATAAAGATAAACATTTGGTTGAGTAAACTTTACATATCGAGCTGGCGCGGTACAATTTCAGTTACAAAATGTAGTAAGCTGGTCATAATAGGGAGATGGCCGCTTAAGTCGGGTCGCGCAGGATTGTTTAGGACGATTGCGGGCGGCCGTGTAATTAGTTGACCGTTGATGGCGTTAAATGGTCTCATGGCGAATTGTTAATGGAGATATTCTCTTCGTTACGACTAATGTATATTATGTGGGCTCGACTGGCGACTGAGCCCGCGTGTCGACGCACAGGTGTAGAGTCAGCACGTTTGCAGTACACTTTTAATATTTTCTAGCATTTTCAGCTTAATTTTAAGTCTTATTACTGATTGAAGAACTAACAAGTGTCTGCCCATTCTAGGCTATTAATAATTTGAATTAGTTAATTAGTAGAAGTGATTATAGAAATTTTAGGTGATAATGTAAATATATTTTCATAATCCAGGAAAAAGTATTTATAATAAGGTTTTCGCTAAAAAAATAATTGCCAAAAATAAACGTGTTTGTACTGGCGTACTTATTATTTACTGGTATTTAGTCCCATGTTAGGTTTATATGATTCTTAGTATGTACAATATTATACATATTTTTTATAAAAACCAATTTTCTTCTTTAACGCCACAGCTACCATTACACGCGGTTGTTTCGACCATCTTTTTAAAACTCCCCGAGGGAAGGTATTCATTCACTCGCTTGACTTCTCTACATTGCAACTGGTCGTTTGGAACTTTTGTGATTTCTTTCTGTTGTACTCTGAGCATTACTTATGTATACTTTGTTCATGATTGCTCTATTGTTATATTTAGGTTTCTGACCGTTGTTTTGCGATTTGATTGATGTATTCGACTGAAGTCAGCTCAGTAATTAGGAGTACTAAAAACAAATATAAGAAATGTAACTTCTCATTAAACGATATTAAAAATACTGAATAGTAAAATGATAAGTTTGTAATGAAAACACTTTAAAAATGTTTTTTATGTTTTTTTTCTACATTATCTTTTTATCTATACAAATAAATAAAGAAGTGTCTGTTTGCAATGTCAAAATAACGGCTTTTTAAACGGCAGTCTGTTTGTCCCGGCTAATCTTCGAAGAGGCTGGATTTATTTTGACGGGACGTTTACTGGCAGATAGCTGATGTTATACTAATACTACTATTACTTTAATTTTAGAAAAAGAATAAGAATTTCGTGCAAAAAATTAAAATCCAAGAAATTGTGTATAAAATCCGCTTACCTAGGGACGGACCAAGGTCCGCAAAGCGAGGGTAAGTCGTCAGTTGAATATATAATCGATAAATAAGCAAATAGACGTGACGCTATTAGTGCAAAGTAGTATAAAATAAAAAAAAATATTTACCATGGTTTTTATTTACTATATTAATTTTGATCTGTCTATGAAGCACGTGCCAATATTAGCACTCAGGGCAATTGTAGAGACTTACATAATCTATCGCTATAACATAACGTATTAAAAAACAATATGAGCAACTTTTTTGATACAAGTTTTCAATAAAGATCGTAAATTGTAAATTACAACAGTTTTAGACTTTTATTTTATCAGAACTTTCGTAAAAGTTCCGTTCATTCTCCCGCGGGAACAATTTCCTTATTCGCAGTAAAAATCTTAGGATAATATATTCGCTTACATTGTAACATATTTGGTACGCTTAGCTTGGGAGCTTGATGTATTGCATTGCGCTCGATTTTTTTTTAATATTTTGCTATATAATATAAATTGTACGAGGTTAAAATTATATTAATGCAGATGACTTTATTAAAGTTGTTAAATTGAAATTATATGAATGCATGTTACGAATGTTACGTTTTATAGAAAGAATAGGTAAGTATATAATTTAGTGAAAAACAAGATGAGCGTGCCTGCTATTTTGATCGTCCTATTCGGCTCTAGCGGTTTTATTACAGTATAATATCTGTATGTGTTTAATGACATTTATACAGATAAATAAAATTGAAGTGTCTGTTTGTAATGTTAAAATAACAGTTTTTTTTTACTCAATGCATATGAAATTATATACGGTTCTTATAAGAAAAATACAATTTTTAAATTTTTGTCGCTGTCTGTCTGTGTGTTCGGGCTCATGTCCGAAACGGCTATATTGATTTGGATGGGACTTTCACTGGTAGATAGCTGATGTTATAAGGAGTAACTTAGGCTACTTTTATTTCAAAAAAAGAATTAGGATTCCGCACAAAAAATTAAAACGTACAGAGGGGACGCAAGTCGCTAGTTAGTAAGTAAATAAGATGAATGAAATCAAAGAAAAAAACTCAAACTTGCATTAAAATGTTAAACCAACACTACAAGGTAAACGAATTTCGGAAACAAAAACAAATTTGTGCATCGCTATGAAATAGTAGACGCAAAGAAAACAGTCGAGTTCGTTAGTTCAGCTTTCAACTTGACATTCGTTTTAAAAAAAACGTCTTGCAAATGGAACAAAGCGGCGCAACCGCAGCGGCTTCAGACGTCAACGGAGCGGACTTTCATATTTCAACTTTTCATACTTTTGCTTTAGCAACAATCGGGTTTCGTAACCGTCACTCTCGCACTCGCGCCGCCCGCCCACTGCGGCTAGCTTGCCATAAACTTACCGTTTGTGAAAACAAACACTTATAAATAAATAAATAATAAATGAATAAATGTTGGGACATTAACACACAGCGCCATCTAGTTAGTCGTCAAGCTACGAGGCTTGTGTTATGGATATCAGATATTTGATATTATAATATAATAATAATAAGCCTTTATTATCCAAGATAAGATTACAAAGAGTTTGAAATAATATTTATAGTTAAAATTCATAAAAATCAGATATGAATAAGTGTGTACAATTAATATATATACAATAATAATGTCTGATGCATGATATTATTTAATTTTCTTTTTCTTTTATATTTCCTTATTCATTTGTTTATATATATTTTTTAATTCTTTTTATATGATATTATATTCTCTTGGGTACCCATTTTCGGGTAAAGGCTTCCTCCATCCTTTGCTTCTATTCTATTCGTTCCTACATGATTCTAATCCAGTTTTGGTTCCTCTTATAGGGTGCAATATATAAATGTTTTATTTGGATGGAGGGTGGTGGTCTATTGCTCCCACGGGGACCTGCCGTATTGGGAGAGTTATTCAATTTTTTTTTACCGATTTTATTGTTAAATGCCGTTGTGTGGAGAGGGGCCTGTTTTAATTGCTAGTTTTGTGCTTTTGTAGTAGACATAGATTCTATGCTGATTCTATTGTTTTATTCTTTTTCGCCGTATTCAATATATTTCTGTATGGTGTTTTTTCAGTTTCCGGCGAGAAAATAGGTTTTCTTTTATTCGTGTTTTTTTGGTAGTTGCATTCCTTGGTGAATAAATTATTTTCCTTTGATTGTTTTGTATATAATGTAATTATTTTGTCTCTTCTCATTACTATTTTTTCACCCTTTTGTTTTCTACTTTTGTATTCTTCATGTAGCTCTTTCCTTCTTTGTAAAATTTTGTGTATATAATGTTCCTTTATGTATAGTCCCGTTTCCTTTAAATATTTACTATTTTTTAGTATGTTGATCTTATGACCCATGGTGTTTGCTGTTACAAGAACAGGTCTTATTTTACCATCTTGATTTATTCCAATTCTCTTAACATATTCAATATCTCGTTTTTCACAAGGGATTTTCATACAATCATTAATAATTGAAACAATTTTTTCTTCTAGCTCTTTATAGTGCTTTTTATTTTCTTCCAGACCAAAAAATTTGACATTTCTTTGTTTTAATTGATTTTCCATTTTGTCTGTAAGAGTCTTTTGCTCCTCAATCACTTTTTCTAGGCTCTGGGTTTTTCTTCCTAGATTTTCAAATTTTTTGTTTACGTTCGCATTAATTTCATTAACTATTGTTTCTTTCATATTTGTTATTTCGAGTTTTTGTAGTTTAATATCGTCTTGAATATTTTTTAATGAATGCCCTCAAAGTGTTCATAAACTATTGTTCAATATTTTATTTTGATTATGAAACTTTTATATAGATTGTGCCAATGTAGTCAATATTTTACTTGCCAAGTAATTCTTCTATAATTCGTTTTGAAATCCTTTTAGTTCCATTGTGTGTTACTGAATTTCCTTCCGAATGACACAAACACGATTTTATGCACTAAATAGATTTTTATTTGGTTTTAACCACTGCCTTCAATTGTACTCGTTCTTTGTTAACTAATTCTTACTTAACACTGCAATTCACAGTACTTTTCTAGTTATATTTTTATATTAAAAGAATTTAGTGCGGAGCTGATTCTTAACGTTAGCACAGTTGTGCCTTCTCTGAGATAGTTGATACACTACACATATATAACTTTAAATACATACATATTATAAATATAAACACCCATGACTGGAGTACAAACATTCGTGCTCATCACACTAATGAATGCCCCCAGCGGTACTCGAATACGCGAGCGCTGGTACAGCAAGTAGGGTCACTACCAACTGAGCCAAACGTGTCGTCTTGTATATCCTTACTAATATTATAAATTCACTTTTAAATTTTTCGACGGGTTTATTTCTTCTAACTTTGTCATTTCATTTTGAAAGCGAAAACTGAATAGTTTCAACAATACATATAGTAATTATTATTTATTATCCGATAATGTAGCTACTAATAACTTTATGCTCGCGCTCATTTGATTGATGTGACAAAATCCATATATTATTGGAGTTTTTTATCTTTACATATAATAAAATTGTATCCAAGTCGAATCTTTAAATTAAATATTTTTTGGAAAATCTTATTGAAATAAACATTATTATCGATACAGAGGCCGAATTTATAGTTTTTAGAATTTTTGTTTGTCTGTTTGTTACCGCATCACAAAAAAACCACTGGATGAATTTTCGTATAGTGATAGCCGCGGGCAATGCTTGTTGTCTTTAAATTGTTTAGTTTTTTAACGATATTTAATTGTACAGCACAGACATGGGTCGGGGAGTGCCGCCGGGTATATTTTATCCCGGTAGAGTATCTGCAAGTAGCTCTCATGAGAATTTAGTATAGCAAAAAATAACTGAATAATTAAATTGTATATTTGAACGTTAAATATATTTTATTTGCTAATTACCATCAGTTCGGTAACGAAAACTGAACTTTAGAGAGTTCTAGGGTTTTAAGTGAATGTAGGTATAATTCATAATTGGATGAACGCGCTAATTAGGCCTATCAGAAATTGCAGCGGTAATTATGGATCTTAGATTTGTTTTAAGATACGAACAACATAATATTTAATGTTCTCAACATATTGATAGACTTAATTAATCACGTGTCTCATATTACAAAGTCATTAATATTTAAATGGAATTCTCTATATTATTCATGTAATGAAATTATAATAGTGGATGTTTTACAAGGAATTTGAAAAAACAACAAACTTGGGCATTGAATTTAGGAAGTGGGAGGAAGTTCTACTTGTACAGATAGCAAATTCAATGAACTAGATTTATCTATTTCTGATTTCAAAAATCTTTTTATTTGTTTGAAACTACGATGTGTATTTATGGTTTAACCGAGACGCGAAACTTACACACGAAAACGCCTGTTATTTTTCTTTTTTTTCGAACAGAATTAATATGGAGCCTTGGAATAAAAGCAAGTAAAGCCAGTTGAAATTGGGCCAGCGTCGTGTCTCGCGCGTACTGAAACTACTCTTACGTACAATACAATAGAAGACGCGCCGCGGCGTGCGGCGTGCGCCTGACAGCACATTAAGTGTTGTATCGATTTCGGCAAATTTAAATTGAAATTACTAGATTAATGGTTGAATATCTTTTTATTTTAATATCACCCAGAATTTCTTCCGTGTTTACAAAACTAGTCCACCAATATAGAATTTCATCATTAATATAAGTGCAAGTGGCAGAATAAATTCACGCTCACACAAGGTTTGGGTTTAACCCAACAGCTTAGGTACACGTTTTTAATTCAATTATTACATTTTAAGTAAAACAACTCAGCTAAATCCAATAAGCAGGATTCACACCAAATTTATTTTATAGTTTCTAGATTAGATTTGAATTTTCCTACGTAATAATTATTATATTACACAGCAAACTAGCAAACTTCGATATTCATCTAAAATATTTTCTCCAATATAATTTTCTAATATTTGTATGTTCGAAAAAGTTATTGGAGTTATATATAGAGAACTAGATATGAAGTACTCCTTCGAATCGTAATGCAGTGCGAGCCGCCACCGCCACAATGCCGACTTGACGCGATATTTTCCAGTACGCGGCTGACGGCGCATTAAACGCAATCAATGCCCTCCGTCGACTCCCGTTCCATTACATGCAATCTTAATCTTCCATTTTACTTTATCACATGCCTCAGAATATTGTGATCTGAAAATAGAATCCGTATTTCTACGTTGAGAATTCAACGGAAGAGAATATTATAATATTTATTTGTGATTAGCTTCCGTGTGACGACTGACGGAATAGCTTTTATGATCGAAAGAATCAGAGCACTGGAATCCAATTACCAATTTGTGTATTTATTAATTTCTGAATTTTCTTAACAATTTTCCTTAAAGTTTTTCTTTTTCGAACCTGCGTCCTATCTTCTTATGAAAGAATAAAAATTACTTTATTTCCGTCTAAAGCCCAGTTAAAATCGGCTAGACAGTTCCAGTGTTTAATGGTTACAAATAGATAGGTAGAATATGTTATGGTTGTTTTGATATCTGTATTTATAGAGTAAACAGAGTGTTGCTTGAACCACACACAAATGTGCACAGTACAGAAACGTGTTCTAATATTTATTTAAGGTAATTTTAACCATTTCCCTGTCCCATGAGTCATATATAAACATTTCGATTGTTTAACTATGCTGTCGATTTTGTGGACAGTTAAGTAGTTAAAATAAATTATTTACAGTTAAAGAATTTGTACAACATCCATAATGGACCCGAAATTATTAAGTAATCTATACTTCTATTCTTATATTATAAAGAGGTAAAGTTTGTGAGTTTGTGAATTGTGAGTTTGTGACGTTGTTGGGAGTAATCTCTGGATCTACTAAACCGATATATATGAAATTTGGTAAAAAGATAGTTTGAGACCCTGGGAAGGACATAGGATACTTTTTTCCCGGAAATCATCCCTTAAGGAGGTGAAAATGGGGACGAAAGTTTATATGGGGAATCAACCTAGGGACGAACCCGAGCGAGGCGAGGGTGAGTAGCTAATACCTATATCATAAACTAAAACGTGTAAACCTCAACCAAAAAGTAACTTTTATTGATTAGTTATCAGTTGAACCTATAATTAACTATTACTTTGAAGTATTAAAACCTATACTGCGTCTTAATTATCTTACTAAATAAATAGATCATAAACTATTTATAAATAAAATATTTTTGAAACATCTTCTATCGGAATAAATGCCTGTGTTGTACAAATAGTTATACAGATCCACAGACAGACGATGACAAGGGACTCTATGCAATTTAGCTACAAAACTCTTACAATGTAATACTAATTACTCAGTATTAGCATTGCATTTCTTTAACAAAATCAGCGTTGAATAAACATTTGTGCTTTTATTATATCTCCGTATATTCGTCCGTATCTTTCCGTTTTAAATATTGAAATTTGGCGGTAAAAAATAACAAAATAAGCGACCAGCCTGCAGCAATATTTTAATTTACCAAGTCCTGTAGGTAGCGTCAAAGGACGTATAATTAAAACGATACCATCATGCGAAAAATTGAAATTTCATTTAAGGAAAATTTTGTTTTCAGTTTAAGTGTTTGTTCGCGGATGACAATGTTTAGATATAGACCAGAAAAGTTCATTTTGTAACCACTAAAAGGTTCTAAATACAATAATATTAAAATCTATTTTTACTACGTTTTTCCTCACTGATATTATGATCTGATCGTGTGTAAATTAGAGTACTTTTCTACAATCAGTGGCAACTGATATCAAGCCTTTGTCATAAGAACATTTTTCTCATAAATCACTTTATTCTTACTAAACTAAAAATTTATTATTTTTTACTTTTTAGTTCAGTTCATCATTAAAACGTATTTTTTTGTTCTAATTTTTATAACTTAAATTATTTTTTTTAAATAAATTATTGTATTGTCATCGGTTCTTGATAAGTGTGCTAAAATTCAATTTAATCTGACGTTTAGAAGTGGACAAAAATCGCGTTTAAAAATTCCGTTACATAGATAGATACAGGCGAAGTTAAAGCGGCGCCCATCTTATAATATTTATTCAATGTTATTTTGAACCTTACTAACTTTTTCTTTACTTCATTTCATTAACATAAAACTTTTATATATCTTGATAGGTACATGATCGTAAGGAATTGATTACCTATGATGACCGATTACCTATATGTTATGGGGTGTGGTGAACATTTAAGTCCTTACAGTTATGCTTATAGATACAGTTTCACATATATAATATTGGTAATGATGTAACACTACTTTTGTTACAAACCGAACGCCCACCTTCATCTAAGTCCGCACAGGTGAGTACTCTTTGTTTCATTCATAATTTCATTAACATCATTAATTATAACACAATAAAAGGCAATGGTAGACCAGTGGTAAATCGCTCGCTTGGGAAACCGAGTGAAGTAGGTTCAAATTCCGGGTCTCGCACCTCTGATATTTTCTTGTGCGAATCATTTCCAAAATGATTACCACTTGTCTTAACGGTGAAGGAAAACATCGTGATGAAACCTGCATGTCTGAGAGAACCTAGCAAGTTTTCAAAAGACCCGTGAGTTCCGCCAACCCGTACTAGGCCAGCGTGGTGGACTATGGTCTGATTCCCCTCGTACTAAAGGGAGGCCCGTGCCCAGCGGTGGGACGTTAAAAAAAGGTCTGAATACATTAATTAATAAC